CCCAAAAATATTTAGTATTATAATAATATTATTATTACCAAAAATCATAAAAAAAGAAAGAAAAAAGGGAAAGTAATCCCTGAATATTCGGGGCATTTAATACCCCATTTACTATTGCTCAACCATATCTCTGCCATCTCCACTCCTCTGTTGCCATCACTGTGCCACCAACCGATCCCACCTCAGCCACAACAGATCACATGCAGACAAAAGAAATGAAAATTTGTAATTTTCTATTTCTTTTTCTTTTTTATATGTAAGAAAAATCGGGGTGTTATAAAACCCAAACAAACCAATGTAAAAGGGGGGCTCTCGGGAGAAAAAGGACATTTGTAGCAGATGACTCTCTTCGCATTTTAACAAAGGAAATGCAAATGAATTTTCAGCATCCATTCTTTAATTTTTGTTTCAAGACTAACCGAAACCAAGCATTATTTTTTTTGTTATTTCAATCGACACTAGCCAAAGAGACCAATACAAGCCAAAACGAACAAAGGCTAGAAAAGAAAGAGGTAAAAAAGTTTAATGTCCGATCAAAGCGTCTTGTCGGCGTAAGAGATGTCTAATGGTTCATCCGTACGGTGAGAAGACTTGTCTTGGCCTTGGGAACGTCATACTTTGGTTAGAAGTCAAGAAGTTCATGGTTTGTTTCGCAGACTTTGAGGTCGGATCTCGTAAAACGATGGTCGGATCGATAATTGTTACGACGAGACGAACGAACCCCAAAAGTTTGGTGGCCATCAACCATCAGTGACGACGGTCGACACGACAGCTGACGATGGCAGTGCTCGTCCCTGGTTGGTATACATCAGTGATCGAAACTAATACTAGTAATCGGTGAAATTTAGTGTCGTGGTTAGAAGGTATAGACATGAGTTAAGTTTTGGGTTTACCTTAATTTGATTAAAAAAATTTATAGGACCAGTTAGACCATAAAATTCATTTGTTTTTTTATTCGAGTTTATAAAGATTTTATTTGACTCAAAATCTAATCTTGATTTAAGACAAAAATGTGTAACTGACATGTGAATTGGAATTAGACGTCGCATTCGCAACTTATAAAAAATGATATTTTTCTCTAATAAAATGAATTCTCTCTCCTCTCGGGCTCTCTTGATATCTTTCACACTAAAAGAGAAAAACCACAAATCATTGATTCGTCGCCTTATTTACCACTTGCTTACCGCCATAAACTACTATCTCGTTACACATATTACTTCATTTGTCATTTTGTTAAAATAATTATTATGGAATGATTTAAGTTTTATTTTTCTTTCTTTTTAGTTTATTCTTGATTAGATTTTTCTCTCTCTCTGAAATAAACAATATAAATAGATTTTTTGATTCAATAAAAAAAAAACTGAGGAAAATTACGAGTAATATAGGTAGTACTACCATCGTTTATTTAAAATGCAGTATAAAACCCAGTACAATACTTGAAAAACTCGATAATTATAGAGTTCCAAATTCTTTGTTATGTTAAGCTGAGTCGATATTGTAACATATACAATCATACACACCTAGAAGGAGCCATAGCCATAGGTAGGGAGAATCACGACCTCGATTCTCCATTTCTTTATGCATATAGTTTTTACAGATCCTTTCACAATGTAGCTGAAACTGCTGCTGCTGCTAAACCTGTACAAGATTTAAGAAAATAAGAGCTAAGCGCATTAAACAAAAATAACTTGTAATGTTTCAACCTTTTATTTTTTTTTAAGCACTTGTTCAACTCAAGTTGGAAATATGTAGAAAAATTAAACGTCTAGTCATGTTATATCATGAAAATTACTGTTACATTTTAGATGAAATATGAAAAGGCGCGGCTAACCTTTTAAAGTTCATTTATTAATTTTGGCAAATTACAAATTTAGGAAATAACATGAATTGAAACCTAATCCATAGGATACCAACACGAAACTTTAATCACTCCCGGTACTGTTGGTTAGGTTCATTCTTTTTCTTATACGGAGCTCAAGCCCTTTGAATTACATAGAATATAGAACCATGTGCATGCGATATAAACAAAGGAATATTAGATTTCATGTAGGTTTGTTCATGTATAGTTAGCTGTATGGATAAAAGCCGGATGTAATTATTATATTAACCCAAAAATTTAATTTTATCATGGGAATATAAACTGACACAACTTAGTTTGATTAAGGAAAAATAAATCCCTCACGTATTAAGTTTGAATCAAGTAGCTAATAGTCTATCAAAGAATAGCAGTGAGTATTAAGTGTGCATCATTGATACTCTTTACCTTTACTTATATCAGCAGCAGTTCATCTACTGTTATTTCCCAGTGCTTTTGTAATCGGGAATAGGGATTTGACCAGATTCAATATAGCTGACATCAGTCACCAAGATCTCATACTGTCTTCTAACTTGTTCGGGTGTTTTATCACCAACAGCCGCCGCCACCTTTTCCCAGCGATCTGGAGTGTCCTTGTCATATACAGCCAGTGCCTTTTCAAATAGTTTGTTTTGCTTTGGAGTCCAGTACGAGTTAGACTCGCGTGAAGAACACCTCGACGACATTGTTCTTGCACTTTGGGTACGTATGAATCAAAAAACAAGGTAGATATAAAGCTTAGATGTGATGGATATGAACTCAACAAAAAAGATGGGGACCAGGAATGTTTGTCTATCAAAGATTAGACCATTAACAGGAGGGGTAACTAATAAAAGAGGAAATAAGAAAGCAATGAAGGAAAACTAGATTGCTGCCTCGGTTAAGGGCGATGGTTTGATGCTCGCTATTTATAAAGAGACGACATCGGTAAGTAACTGAGCCTTGAAAGCTCAGGTTTGAGTTCGATAGAAAGTTCATGAGATCCACAATCAACTAGATGAGAGTAAAATTTATTTTACCTAACTTACAAATAACCATAATCATTTTAAATGACACCGATAATATATAAGTTATTATGCAAGACTAAAAAAATATTTTTTGCAAATAACCTATCAACTTACAAATAACCATCATCGTTCTAAATGATACATATAATATATAAGTTATCATATCAGATTAAGGAGAGAAACCCATTCTCTTTCTCCCAGATTTTTTTCTTTTGATTGTTCATCGTCATCTTCAGTTTGTTTATTTATTATTTCTCCTCTACTCAATAACCCATTACATTTCTCCATCTAAATTAAAAGGAAAAAAAAAGTTAAACCATCAAAAGTCACCGCAGTGTAACTTTTTTCATCAACAAAGATAAAGATCAAAGTACTCAAATTCGTTTGATCGAGTGAATTTAGAGATTTTAAACCGAATTCAAGTAGCTTGTGAGTCTATCTATTTTCGATATATTTTATCTTAGCATCGTAAGCTGGCGAATATTTGGGCTTAGAAACAAGATATGATTCGCTTGCTTAAGCAAAGGGTTTTAAAGGAAAAGAATCAAGTGTCATGGAACAGACTCTTTTCGAAAGTCTTGTCCGATGTTCTTTATTGGATCAAGTTGACTTTGGCCAAGATTTTATCGGATGGTGGGGATTTGATCCCAAAACAGTATACTCCATCACCATAGATGCTCCAAAATATTGATCCTCCACCACCCTTTTTAAAACCCAACAAATATACAGCAAGATATTCTGCCGTTTCCTTCTATCTTTTTTTCTTTCTCTTTTCACGAGTGGGAAGATGAGATTTTCTTATGCTATTTGCCAACTTGGTAATATATATATATATATATATATATTGTTGCTCTTCCGATTTTCAAGGTTTCGTTTCGACTAATCTAGACTAATCCCGGTTGCACACTTGATTTTAATAGGTGAGTCCTCAACAGGGATTTTTCGCTTACACAAAAATTCGAACTAAAGATCTGCTTAAGCGATATCAAACTGCTTACCACTTAAATCAACTCAGATGATCAAACTTGATAATATATACTCTATTTAAAGGATGATTATTTACATTGAACTTATTCTTCTTCTTTTCATGTTAGTATTGTGAAAAATATTGCTAGTAGCATTTAGAATCTAAGAGCAAAGACCGGTGCCTTTTGAGCACCTGGTGGAGCGTATTCCACTGGTATAGCAGTTAACTCATTTGGATGGTAAAGGGGCTCAATGAAAGGACCACTCTTTGAGGGAATCTATGAATAAAGCAAAGGAGAACTACTTTTGGAAACATGTTCCTATTGTTGTTGGATCCACTCAAACATAGTAAAAAGCGTGTTTTTTGCTCATAGAATGTCCCGAAAGACAAGAACCAATGGGATGAAATTGTTCAATCTTGTAGGTTGAATAGAAGTGATAAAAATTGTTTCTTCATGTTGGAATTTTGATATTGGTTCAATCATTTGGCTTGGTTTTTAGCATGATTAGAGAAGAGAAGAGATATGGGCATAGGGTTAGTCACAGAACCCAGGAAAAAGGCAGCAACATAGGATGCTCAACTCATGGAAAGCCACAGCAGAGAACAAATATTCAAACTTCCTGCTGTTGCAATTATGGAACAGAATCGGAAACAATGAAAGAGTACATGGAAATCCTCAAGCTATGTTATATATTTACACCCATGTCTAAATGAGTTTCAAACATAAGTTTCAGATTTCAGGAAAAACACAGGCAAATGTTAAGTCAGGGCAACATAGATCTCAAGCACCAAGTCTAGACAAATAAAAACTGTGAGTTTAACATATCCAACCATTCCCCAGAAGGAGGGAGATCAGGGAAGATGTTTCAAATTTTGGTTCACAAGCTGGTTGCATGGCAACCAAGAGCTGCTTGTAGATAAAAAATCAGTGTTCTAATCCTATCGGTAGAAAGAATACAGAGAAGCATCAGAAGCTTTTCAGTTGGGTTTAGAATCAATCAAGACGCACAGATTCATTGATATTCAACGGGAATATAAGATCTACTTGGGGATTGAAACATGTAGTGCCCTCGTATATTGCTCGACATAAGAAACGAAAGACAAGGAATGTTATGAAGCAACAAACTCAGGGTGTGACCCTGGAGTTTGCATTTTGAATATAGACAGATGCTAAAACATGGAATAAGTGTATAGGCTTCAATTATATGAAAGAATATGCAGAGTAACAAAAGTGGTTGCCAATAAAAATGGCAAAGCTAAAGTGCTTCCGGAGAGAATTCTGTACAACCAAATTGTTGCAAATACTAGCATGATCATGCACATAAGTAGAGGGAACAAGAGAATTTGTCATTCGCAAACTGGTTTTGTGCCAAAGCTGCTTAGGCAGATTGCAAAGGCTTGGAAAGCAGAGAGTGGGTAACGATAATCCATGGTGAAAATGTCCTTACCAATCTTCCCAAATTGCAGAATCACTTTGTCTCGTTCTGCTACTGAAATGTTTTGGCTTGGCTCAGTGGTGGCCACCAACTGGAAATTTTTTACAGAAGCCAAGGTAACTCGTCCTTTGAAATTTAGGCACCAACACTGCAACTGTTCATGCCATCTAGGAGCTTTATTTTTCAACATTAAGGGTGTACATTGCCCTGAATTTTCAGGCTTACCACAGACGGTTGAGTTGAATCCAATGTGTGGCTTTTTTCCTTTCGAATCTATCGGTGGTGAAGGATCATCTTCAGGGTAATTTGCAAATGACGTTGGAGTCGGAGCAGTTCCTCCCTCTTCGATGGCAGAGACGGGGATTAAGTGCATTATACACTTCAATCTCCTCGGGCCTTTGGTGCGAAGAACATTGAGCTCATAAGATATAGTGGCGGTGTTAACATTAGTCATAGGGACCCTCGGAGGAACCGGCTTCAAGTAGGTTTTCCAACATGATGGATAACCGGACTGTGAAGAAGAATCATATTGAGGATGGCTCTCAAAAATGTTGAACTTGGTTCCCAGGAAATTAGACCTGTTAAAGTTTCCCTCTTTAAGGCGCACAAATAATTAACTAACCAATGCTTAAAAAAAGAACAATAACTTTACCCATCTAAAAGCTAACCTGAGTTTTCCAATATGATCGTTGCTTGGCTTTGAGTAATCATCCCCCTTTAAATATATCATAAAATCAGTGCAGGTAGCCTTTCTAACTTTCTTTGCCACCAATAGCTGTTTACTCAAATCACCAGACAAAGCTGTAAATTCGTACAAGAAAACTAATAAGCGTTGGTTGGATAAATGAAGGGATAAGTTTCAAAATTCTATATAAATTTTGATTCAATGTGCAAAGCGACGTGATAAATTTAATTCGGTGCAACTATACTAATTAAACTTTGATTTTAATTCAATTATATCATATGCATACGGTGCTAGTGATATACAAAAATTAAATTAAAATTTCAAAAATACATTACACTGAATGAAGTTCTCCTTGGAAACATACTAAGCGGAAACATATAGTTTTAAGAATCAAAACACTCGTTATCACCAAAAAAAGGAATGATAGAAAAAATGAAAAATTACCAGGACTGAGACCCATATGCAATCGATATGTTGAAGTTTCCCTTTCCCTCCTAATAAAGCATTGAATCGGAGCCTCTCTTGGTCCAGGCTATACTCCCATAAAAGAAACACCAATAAACTATCAAACCGAATTTTTCCAATAAAAAGGTCAAAGGAAAGATTGAAACTTCACCTGCTTTAGTGAGATGGGGAAAGTGAAGAAGCCACATTGTTCAGGTGTTCTAACAATTTCTTTAGTAATTTCCCTCCACGGCTTACAAACGGCAGCACAAGCAACCACATCTCTCCTTCCCGGCCAACATTTTTCCTTTGTTTCCACTCTTTGTATAATATCGAGCAGTAATTCCGGAGGCAAATTTGCCCATTGTCCTTGCTCGATTTCAGTTGAAGAATCAACTAATAACGGACAAGAATGAGCAGCTTCAGGAGCAATATGGGATCGTCCGGGCCTATTCCTCTCTGGACTTTTCTTCGATATATTTCCAATCTCCCGAATAAGGTTTTTCAATTGCATTTTTCTTGATTTTGGCTTGACAGAGCTGGAAAATTAACGATAAATCTTAATAGGTGAAAAGAATAAGATAAGGGATGAAAACTTTTTATTTTTTAGATTATTTGGTTTCGTAGTTTACCAGAAAGATTCGGATTCTTCTGCCGTTATTGGATCCAAACTGGAAAGAGAATGCCTTGAGAGAGTCTTTAAAAAAATAAAAATTCGAAGAGGAGATTTTGGAAATTATCAGGGATTTTCAGAAAAGAGAGATGAATTCGTCGGAGAACACGATAGGGAGAGGCGAAATGGAGAATGTACGAGATTTCCAATCAATGAGAAGAACAAAGAGAGCGAGGAAGAGGATCTAATGGGATGAGAAATTTTGAGATTTGCACCCGTTTTTGTTGTTGTTATAATAAAAAAAAAAACATTAAAGATTGGCAGTGCTGTTCATTTCCTCTCTCTCCCTTTCTCTCAATTTCCGCCTCTCACTCCGTCGCTGCCTCCGCCTCACCAGCTGCTCTCCGACGGCGACAACCCCGCAATGAGGGCTCTGCCTTTTTTTGCCCTTTTCCTTTATGTTTCTATTTGATTCTTATTTAAATAATTTGTAATTTTTAAAAACGTATTTTATTTTTCCTTTCTTTATTTTCAATCTTGTCCACTGATTTAATTGGCGGCTGTTTTTCTTTTCCGTTCTCTTTTTCAGTCTACCCACACGAATTCATCTTTTTCATGTTCCGACTTTTTTGGGCGAATTTTCACTCCTTGTTTGTCATTTTTTATTTAGTAAATAAATTGTTTACACCTGTTAAATTCTTTAAATTTAAAGAAACTACGAAATCAAGTGTATTTGGATTTATATTTATTTTTAAATCATTATAAAAAAAATGATTATATCAATTGAGTTAAGATTTTATTAATTTTTTGCTATATTTTTATTATAAATCTGAGATGAATATAATATACCATTTATTCAAAAATATTTAATCATTTAACAGTAAATACTCATATTATTTCGTATATGATACTCAAACTCAAGACCTCAAGAGAAGACAACAAATCCTTTAACCATTAAAGATGTTTGGTTCGCGCGATTCTTCACTATAAAATCAAATTATTTTATTTGTATTTAATCTTATTAATAAATTTTCATTAAAAAAATCTTATTAGTAAATTATAATCTCATATTGCAATCAGGGTGTAATATATGGTGTAATGCATGATGTAAATCTTATAACTACGTCTTCATTAAATTACTTTAGATTATATAAGACTTGAATTTCGACTAGTTTACGTTTTTTATCAAATAAACTTTTAGTTTAATTAAAAATAAATTTTCATTTTCTAAATAGTTAAACAGTAGATGACGCACTTGAAAATTATCACTGTTGTGCTTAGTTTAGTGATTTGTTTATTAAAGAATTACTTCTTTCTAAATATAAAAAATGTTTTTAATTAAATCATTTGATATTATAACTTAATTCATCCATTGTATTTTCGTATATAATGCTTATGTGAGATCTAGTATGTTTGTGTATACTTCTTGAGTTAGAATGTAAAAGTCTTGTGCATAAAGAAATAAAATTAGAGATATTCTTTTAACTAGGTTCCAATATTTAAGGTAATTTAGAGATGGTAATAACACATTTTTTATTATTTGAAAAATGTGACAAAGCCACAATTATTTTATATACTTATTTATTAATATATATAAATCGTAAAGAATACTAATATTTAAAAAATCTACAAATACATGTAAAATTATATTATAAGAAAATATTTAAAAAATTATATTATAAGATCAATTTGATAAAATATACTTTTAAATCATAAACATTGCACCATAGATTGTTTCTTTAGTTTTTCTCATCTTACAATAAAAGTAGTTTTAAATAATTTTATACATGTAAAATTATTATGAAATTATTATGTAAAATTACACCGATCAATAAATCGTATTACTGTTAAAACCAAGGTCGAATCTATAATTATAAATCTTCTTAGGAGAGGTCGGAACTGAACTTTGAATTTGGAGTGCAAAGTGTAATTTTACCAAATTAAAAATTGATTATTTTAAAGGGATTATCAGATAAATTTTAAGGGTCAAGATCACTATCTACCCCTTACATTCGTTTCTGAATATTTGTAATGAAAATTTAACTACTATAGACACAATACAAAATTACTTGGATTTATTTTAAAAGACATACTTAGATTATTGTAAATCCATAGGTAAAAATTTTATATTCAAGCCATACATGCATTCAAAGACAGCCTTTATAGATGGATATAATTTTTATCACAAAAAAGGAAAAAAAAACATTGCAATTAACTAGAATTGCTTTAAAAAGTACTATAAAAATATTTTAAGGAATATTATTTATATAATTGTAAATTAAAGTCGATGATGTTGATTTAACATAATTAGACCGGTTTCATGCGAGGGGCCTCAACGAACTTCAGCTTCTACTTTAAACTTTCAGTCCATCGGTCTTTTCATCATTTCCACCAAAAACGAAAATGTTAGATTAGACAAACAATAATTTAATTTCTTTCCTATTATATTTGTCATTTATTAATTATTGGGAAAACGTATGGACAGAGTTGGATAAAAGTAAAAAAATAAATGAAGACATAACTTAAGATTTTTGTAATCTAATTATTAAAAAAAGAAAGGGACAAGGCCTCAAACGAAATCAATGTTGGTGTTTTTTTTAAATATACATGTATATATATTTATTTAAAAGTAACTGCTATTGTATACGAGAGTGATTCTTTCATGCATGCTTCAATTATAGCAAGGAATATTAAAAAAAATCATGTGATTGAATTCGCTTCGTATTATAATTATATTTTTGCATAATATGATGGAATGTGAGATTGAAAATGGCAATGAATGCATAACTCAATTAGTTGTCCAGCAAATTAAAGTGCTAAATTAGGTGCCTGTCTGTTTGTGTCGTACAAGAAGAAGAATCGAAAGGGAAACTATTAGCGTGCGTAATGAAAATTCTGCTTTCCAAGATAATCAAAACAAATAAAATGCAGCCAAATGGTTTAGAATTATGGGTTAGAAAAAGAAAAAAGTCTCGATGTCTTGATGCATGCGGTGTGGGAAATGATGGTGGTGGTGTTTGGAAGTTTCCGAATGGAGTACGATGGAAGCTGCATCCACATGAATTCCATCGCCATCCCATATTCGCCACCCTGATAAGGTTTATGGGGTTATGAATTCACGCCAAAAAAAAAAGCAAAAAAAAAGCTAACTCCTTGATTTGATGATAGATTCTTTTTTCTTTTTAATGATAGTTAAAAGAGTTGAGTATGACTTAGGTGAAGAGTGATTCTCCGGTCCAGGAAGATGGTATACTTAAGACCCAATTGAGATTTACATAAGATTTTACAGATTGCTTATCAAGAATGATAGTGATGAGATTAGAACTTGGCCTTACAAGCTCAAATTCCTGACAACTAGGGATGGGCATTGGACCTGAACCAGACGGGTTTCGACCGACCCGATCGGGTTGGGTTTTTTTTTTAAAAATCGGGGTCGGATCGGGTCGGGTTTAGGGTAAAAAATACTCAGCCCGACCGACCTAAAAAAATATATAATTTTATCTTATATATTTATGAATAATTACAATAATACCCCTCTATATATAATTTTTTCAATTAAGTCACTGTTTTTATTGAATAAAAATAATATTTTTTATTATTTTGGGCCGGGTCGGGTTTCTAAGTTATATGTCGGGTCGGGTTCGGGTCAAATTTTGATTTGGTCGAGTCGGGTCTCGGGTGGAGGATCCCTTGTTCTTGGGTCGGGTCGAGTGGACCAAAAACCCGACTCATGCCCATCCCTAATCCCAACCACTTGTGCCAACACTCGTTGGCAAAAAAAACCTGTTTATTTATTGTTTTTATGCAAATAGAGCCGTTAATTTTATTAGAATAAAATATATTCAAATCACAATAAAATTCGTAAATTATTATTTTCTTACCGTCGTTGATAAAATAAACTTATCACTCGAGATTATTCAAAAACCATGTGAGAAAAATGTTTAAAATCATCCAAGACATTTGAACAAAATAAATATACAAATAAATATAACTGCATCGACACATGAACTACAACATGAGAAAGACCCTCGGCTTCCGCAAATAATAATCGAGTGTTATGAGAAAACTATCTACGAACGCAAATGATATATCCAAGTTCAATATGAGGGTCCAAAGCAAGGAAGATCAATTAATATAAACGTTCTCTTGATCAATAGAGGCGACATCAAATCCAACCATAAAAAAATAGTCAAACGACCGACAACATGTCATGAAATCAAAAGAAAATATGTCATATAGGTATAGAAATTTACCATAAAAACAGAATTATTTCAAACTAAAAAACACAAAAATATATGTATATAAAAAAACAAAAAAACAATGAATACATATTGGTGTCGTCGCTTTTCAAATAAACGAGAGAGAAAAGAATCGAGGACTAAATATTGCATTGATATTATATTATTATTATTATAATGTTACGATGAAAGTTCAATCTGTTTCTAAAGCTAGTTTATTTTTTTTAATTTATCTTTTTATATAACCATTGATATTATATCTTAATTAAACGGAGCATTTACCTCGCAAGTGTATTCAAGCACATGTTTCATGGAATAGGACCTGATGAAGATGTGGACAAAATAGTCCCTTTCAGGCACATTGAAACTAGATTTGGACCATTAACAAATAGGCTTGACCCAAAAGTACTAAAATACAAGCAGAAGTCTCGACAACTGATTCATTAAGACGAAGATCACAGGGTAGTTTTTAAGCAATCTCAAATCTCAAGACTTCTGCAACAATTAAATATTGCAAAATCATCAGAAATTGTTTTCCTTTCAAATTAAAATTTCTAAAGCTTTTTAATCACAAGCAGCCGAAACTAATATGTTCCTTTCAAATAAATGGATTTTCTCATAACAATTTGAGGTTCATGAACCATATTGAACTCATTATGAATTCTAAACGGGTGGAATAAAGTTCAATGTAGAAGATTAGGTAGAACAAAGTCAAAAGGCGGCCATGGTTTATCCAGTTTCCGATAAAATATGCCGTTGCAGGCTGCTTGAGTTAGGGGAGACCCCACCCTGCTTTTCTGATATAAACACAATGTTAACACGTGCGCTTGAAAATTGATGTTGAATCATATATCACGCAATTTCATCGCAAGAAATCGGCCCCTGATATTATATAAAACAACAATATTGTCAACTATAATAAACCAGTGTGATCTTACGTTTACAATCCTCAGTTCTGCAAAATGGCTTCTTTCATCTTTTTCTTAGCTTTATTCACCTTAATGGTGAGTACACCTCAAGCAGACGCAGCTGAAACTTCAGCATTAGCTATACTTATAACAGTGGACCAATCGGGGAAAGGGGACTATGAAAAGATACAAGACGCCATTGATGTCGTGCCATCAAACAACAAACATGTTGTTTTCATATTGGCTAAGCCCGGAGTGTATGAAGAAAAGATTGTTGTTCCTGCGGACAAGCGATACTCGTTTTTGTTCGTATCTTAAAAAAACAAATATTATATTATTATTATTATTATTATTATTATTATTATTAATTTTATTACATTTGCAGGCTCCACAAGCAGGCCCAACACCCAAGGCATAACCCAACAGTAAAACCCAACTCAGTTGGAGTCCAGGCCCGACCCGGAGGGGACCCGAACCTACTCACTTGACAACCCTAAAAAACATTAGGGTTTCCCAACATCAGCTCAGCCGTTGCAGACTCTTCAGCTCCCCTGGCGTGTGAGCTTCACCGCTCCTCTCCCCGAGCACGTGAGCTGTCGCCGAGCGCCCCCGAGCCGTCGACGAACATCTCACCGATCGATATTGTCATCCACAGTGACAACAATCACACCACAATCAGAAAAACAGAGAAAACACATTAAAAAATTAAGAACAAATCATAAAAAATGTTTCCTGAGGAGATTTAGCCCTGTAGCAGCATCATATTAAAGGACAAGAAAATACATCACAAAGATATCAATCTCCTCAGGCAACAACAAAGGGATCAACATATACCATCAAACATAAAGCAGGGGACAAAGAGAAAAGAGGGGGGGGGAAAGGGAAGTCTTCGAACAAAAAAAAACAAGGGGGGAGAGAGAAGGAAAAGGATAAAACTCAAACCAAACAAGAAAAAAAGAGGGAGAGAGGGTTCTTACCTCCGTTCGAAGCATCGAGAAGCCCAAATATCATCGAAGTTCGTTCTTCGAAAGGTAAAGGGTTTAGATCTGGGGTCCTAGAGACGTTTTTAAACTAAGATAGGTTGGGTTTCGATTTAGGGGGAAGGAGATGAGTCTTTTGGAGGCTTCTCCCTCCGACCGCAGTGAGCTCTGTCGGCGACGACCATCTCCTTCTTTCTCGACGAAGGAAGTTAAGAGAGTTTCTATGAACTCTCTCTCTTATTTTCTAAAACGAAGACAAATGAGGGGATGAGAAATAGAAGTCCATTTTTGGGCTTATAAAATGGGCTTATATACCTCGACCTAAACACTGTCATTTAGGGAGGGGTCTGTTTGTAATTTCATCGTGGGTAAATTACATTCGGGGTGCCTCCGTGTTTTGTAAATTTCGTGTATGGGCACTGGTTGTATTTTATTAATTTGTATTTCATGCCCCGCGTTTGTAAAGTTTGCATCTTGGTCTCTGGGCTATTTATTGTTACTATTTTGTAAATTTGTACATTGTACCCTGTATTTATGAAACTTTTATTTTAACCATTGCTCCTGTATTTTGGGTTAAATATTGAACATGGTAGATATGTTTTTATTTCCTTATTTTAGTCCTTTGCCGTAAGAAAATGGAAATTTACATATCTAGTCCATAAAGTTTTCTTGATGTAATTTTAGTCACTGATCAAATTTAGTTTGGGTTATTTTTTTGTTTGGCCCCTATTATTTTATTTTAGTTTTTTTATATCCTTTTCTAATTATATGTTTAATATTTGAATCCTTATGTTGTGTTTTATTTTTATTTTATTTTATTTTATTTTACCTTTGTTTTTATGAATGATTTTTATGGTATATTTACACACACACACACATATATATATATATATATATATATATATATATATATTACTTAATAGTTTCTTTATTGTTAAGCTTAGTTGTGTTTTAATTCGTTTGATATATACAATTTTCTTAATATACATTCGAAATTATTTTCAAGAACATGTATGCGTAGAAAGAGCGTGAAAAACATCACTTAGTCGAAGTGGTGCGATCCGATACGACATTTAACGACATGAGAACTTGAAATACATCGAGTTTATTTTACTAATTAATGTGTTTTTATTCAAATGATGCAATGTATGTTTCTATATAGCAAATTATTTTATGCAAATGTCGATTGTCAGTTTATATTCAATATGCATTTTTATCGGGGAGGGAATATTTTTTACAGATAAGAAATAGACGAGATAGCTTTCCCGATGGAGGATTGCTAATTTCTAGATTTCTTTTCAAGTTAAAGAATTTTCCCTAATCAATTAATTCGAAGTAAATTAATCCTTAATAAATGGATCATATTCTAACTATATATTCGATTTATGATTTCCACCAGTTACGATAAGGTGTAAGAGACACAGTATCAATTTTGGGCGTTGTGGGAGTGCTAACCCTTCCCCACGCGTAACCGACTTTCGAATCCATTTAATCGAATCTTTGGTGACGCATACCAACTTTTGTCTTAAAAAATGATTTTTCTTAAATTTGTTTTAAAAAAACATTTTTAAGTATTCGACCTACCTAATTCAAAGGTCGATGGCGACTCCCTTTCAATTTAATTCCAATCAATTCCAAAACCCCAAATTTTCAAAATAAATAGTCATAACTGTTTTAAAATAATAATTTAATTATTTTTTCAAAAAAATAGTTATGACACCTTTCATTACATTAAGCGGTTCCAAGGCAAATAGCACCATACTAAATTCGAGTGATAGTGGGAACATAATCACATCTGCTACTGTTACTGTTATGGCTTCAGATTTTGTGGGCCGATATCTCACAATTCAGGTATGTAATAAAGCACCAATCTATTTAGTTCATATAAATTTTTTTCTTTTGGCTGGAGTGTTTTCAAGTTAAACTGACTGTTTGTGTGTTATTTCGTGGATAGAATACTTTCCGGAAAAACGGAGTTCAAGCAGCGGCATTAAGGGTTTCTAGTGATAGGGTAGCTTTCTTTGGATGCAGAATTTTAGGTTACCAGGATACGTTGCTATATGAAAGTGGAAGACATTATTACTACAATTGTTACATTGAAGGATCTGTTGACTTCATTTGTGGGAATGCCGCTTCTCTTTTTGAGGTAACATTTTCAAGAATCAGTTACTTACCTATGATATAGGAACTTCGAGTATATTTCATCTTTTAAAAAGGTTCGTTTCAAGATAATCTATTAGCAGATTTGGATCATAAACTTGCATAAGGAAATCTCTTGGGATTTCATTTTTTTTTTATCTCAGATGTCATTTGCATACTCTCTCAGAAGAATTTTCAGCAATTACAACACAACGAAGGCAATCTCCTTGAGATGAGACAGGCTTTACATTTCTAGGTTGTAAGATAACTGGGGAGAGAACTGCCATACTAGGGAGGCCATGGGGTCCATATTCTAGGGTCGTTTTTTCCCTAACCTAGATATCTAATGTCATACTGCCTCGGGGATGGGATGATTGGGGGGATGCGTCCAAACAGAGGTAACCAAAAGAAACTCTCAAAACCAACAAAGATCATTTACTCATCTTAAAATTCTCGGATTGCACAAGCTGTGAATATTGTCTACTGATTGATGCTTAGTCAATTGATTTTTGCAGCACGGTGTTTTACGATGAATATAAATGTTATGGACCAGGAGCCGATAGAAGTCAAAGGGTTGAATGGTCACAAAAGCTGGCGGCTAAAGTGGCTGAGCTTTTCTTGTCAAAAAGCATAGTTGAGGCCAAGAATTGGATCAAACCTACCCCCAAACATTTCAAGAAAGTTTTCCCTTCCATTTCTAACAATTCCACCCCACATCCTTAATGGTGGACGAAATTAGATGTTTGTTTGCCTGTTAGAAAATTGGTTAATGTAACTATATCATATTAAATATATGTACATGCCAAATTGTCATCTGTTAAAATTAAAGTTTGGACACATCACATGGTTGTCTGTGTAGGAATGTAACCGTGATACACCCTTCGATTTAAATCCAAATTTTATATATTTATTAGAATAATCCCCTGTTTTGAGGAATTAAATAAGTAAAATTCTGAAAATAATAGTTGTATCAGTTATGTCTAGGGATTTTGTTGAGTGAGTAGATCGCGAGTTGGGTAGTGTTCGACACGTGCTCGTTAAAAAAATTTGTTGCTCGACTCACTCATCGCTTATTAAGCTTGTTAAAATTTTGCTCGACTTGTTCTCGTTAAAAAAACTTGTTACTCGACTCGTGGCTCATTAAGATCATAAAAGACTTTACCTTATTTTCTGAACTATATGTAAAATTTGCTAACACTATAGGTAAAATATTAAATGAATATATGAAACAATTTCAAAATCTAAACTCGAAAATAACAATCCACATATACATTAAAAATAATAAATAGAGTTTGATTATTAGGTGTAGTAAAAGATTAATTAATAAGTTAGTTTTTTTGTTTATTATAAAATTAGTAGATTAACAATTTATCATCTTTTTATTATCTATTAGTAAATTAATAGTTTTTTAATGAAATAATTTTTTAAAATAACTATTAAAAAATTATATACAAAAATTAACGAGTTGTTCACGAACTTATCGAGTCGAGTTAGACTTCGCTTGACTCAACTCGTTAAATTCAAGTATAACTTTTATCAAATTTTCAAGTTTGAACTACTCACCAGCTACTCAATTTATTAAACACCTCTAGCTATGTCTTTAAACTCGGAGATATGGGAAAATCAACATTAACCTCGGAGTAGGATAAATTCACCGACTACATTATCTATACCAAGTGGACCGACGTGAGCAGCCATTTTTTTAATCAGTTATCCTCTGAACTCAATGGATTTCGGCTTAGAAACTGGTAATCTTAAATGATTGTGTCAATGTCACCTATAGTATTGGAGTTGATCACTTGAAATGGAAGATAAGAATGCCACAGAGAAGTCAGTCCCATCAGCCCACGACTTCAATAAACCCCCCTGCTTTCCCCATGGTTTTCAATGGAAATTCTATTGGCTGCTAAAGAGTTAGTGAAGCTTGTCCCTATCAAATGACTCTATCATTTTGGTCAACACCGCCTCCATTTTCAATGCTAAACCAATAAAGAAGAAAACAGAACATGGTCTTGAAGATAAGGACGAAGAAAGCAAAGGAAGAGATAACCATCAGGGTCACCGCGTCTATATAAAAGGATTTCATTTCCCCAAGGTATTTGCCGATACATAGTCACACATCATTACTTAAAAGAGTTGCGTGTGGAAAGATCATCATCAAAATGGGTTCTCTAATGGCGGGATGGGATTCTACTGTATCAGAATCAGATCCTAAATCAGGTAATTTCAGTGAACACTTTACTAATTGGTTTAGTGTTTCCATGCTTTGCCTTTGTTGTTCGACTTATTTGAAAACATTTTCAGTCATACGCGAAAGAAATCGATCGCTTACCAAGGAAGAGATTGAAGCTTATTGGAAGTCACATAAGGAAATCGAGGAAGAACATCTTAAGGTCACTTTTAGTCCATCACATAACTCCAACCCTCTGTCCAATACAAAACAGGGTTTCTTGGACGTTGATGCAGAAACAAACCTGGACAATATCATGAAGAAAAATGGCTGGTGAGTAGCAGAAAACAAAAAGGGGCTGAAAGTTGAGTAATTTCATTAACATAATAATTTAATAATGTAAATGAATGCAGGTGGAGGAGGAGCAATTGGGCATTCTTGAATGAACCGCCAGTTCTTGACCGCCCTACCAGCCGTTACAAACCACAGTTTCACGTTGCCAACCTAGCTGCTTCCAAGCTTAACAAACATTCTGGAATCAGTGTTTAATCTTCGGCTCTGTGCAATCTCTCGTGGTCATATATTTTATGTTATATAAAGTAGTAAGAACACTGTTCTAATGTCTGCTCGAGTACGAGTGCCTGGAGTCTGTACATAATATGAACTATGAAGGGGGATGAATCCGTATTGAACATTTGTTCTACTGATGACATCATTTGGAACTGAGAAAAATTGTCTGTTAAATCTTGTATCGTTGATTCATTTTACTGTTTATCGTGATTACCGATGAAATAATAATGTTGCGTAATGGGCTTTCTCCTCTGGTTTACTTACGAAGTTACTTATATGGACCTCAAAGATGAAGAACTCCACATGGTTTTCCGAAAAGATCGAGCACGTGCATGAATTTAAATTCTACTAGCAGTAAGAAAGTGTTGCTTTGACAAAATTCATTCCAAGTAGTCAAATCATTTATAATTGTCATTCCACAACAAAGATTCACCTTCATTTTTAAAGAAAAAGATAATTCCATAGCAAATTATATATATGCTCTATTAGGAAAGAAAAAGGAAAAGTTTCCCAACGTTAAACAAAGTTATACGACCAACATCTTACAAAACAAGTCAAGTTCAAGTAGATCTTTACCGACAAACTCAAACTTCCCAACAATAGACTCATCAATCATTACAGCATTCGGAGCCAAATGGACCAATTTTTGTTTATTTAAAGTAGTAAAAATCAGTAAAGGAAAACAGAAAGTGTATAAAATAAGTGGCCGAATGAGCCAATAGGGGGCGCTGAGGGGTAGTGACCAGTGGAAGAGCGGCACCTTTCCCACCTGCTGCAGTGATGAGTTCCCATGTTCGGGGCTTTGCCTATATAATACTCGTATATTCACATCAACAAAATCTTATAGAGTTGAGACTACTACTTCATAGGAACCTTTTGAGGGAATCACCAAAAGCTAACACTATGGGAGCAGAAACCTTGGTTAAGAACGGGGAGTCCAAGGCTCCCCTTATACTGGGACTTCATCCAGCTGCCCTCATTGATCACGTGGCTCGTGTCGGTTGGTCCTTGCTCGATCAAATTCCCGGCGAACCTGGTGGCTCTATTCTGGTATTTCCTTTTTCTCTTTTACTACCCTTTTTATTAAGTTCTTATATTCTTTTTTCTGTTCCTTTTTACTAATCTATTCTTACTTGCTGGTTTCTGGGTTTATGTTATGTTCTTTGGTACAATTCTGGGGGGGGGGGTTTCTCATCGAGATTACCCAACTTCTATTCAGTTTTTGCCCTCTTTCTGCTCTGTTCTGGACCATGAAAAGGCTTAAAAATGTATATATGTTTCGAGTGTAATGGGTTAGATTTTTGTTATTATTATTCTTTTAAATTGGTTGTTGATGTATGTGGTGGCTTACTGGCTTTGTCAGTAAACGATGGCGGTTTTAGGCTTACTGACAATACTTATTTCTGGTCAGATTGTTCAGTTTTTAGTTCTTGTTCTGGTGCTGATATTTGTCATAACTAAACTAAAAGCTTTGAAGTTACAATCTTGGAACTGAAAATCTTTAAATTGTTTTTCTTGTTGAATGAGCATGAGGATTTCAGACATATCATGGGAACCATGTTCTTTGGTGGTTTGATGAGAATGAACTTGCCCTGTTATGTATGTTTAAACCAAGGAGCTTGAGCATATATTAAGCGAGTTGAAAAAGCACATCCTTGCTTCAATTGACGAGCCTTCTCCTGTGAAGACTATGGCTGGGGGAAGTGTTGCGAATACTATTCGTGGACTTAGCTCTGGCTTCGGGTTTAACAGTGGAACGATTGGGGCCTATGGGGATGATGAGCAAGGTCAATTGTTTGCAATTAACATAAACATTGCTGGAGTTGATATTTCGAGACTGCGAAAGAAGAAAGGACCGACAGCTCAGGTGATCTTCACAATACAATTTTAAACATTAACATTTACCCTGAAGAAAAGGGCAACACTGGCAAGCATGAATCATGAGAAGATTATCCATCCAAACTTGATCCCAATTTTCTTAAACATTAATTCTCCGGTAGAGATTGATGCAAACTTAAAAGTTCTAGTATCCTTAATCCTAAATTTAAATGTAGTTTTTTCAGGTCAGGTCTAGCATTTTCATGTTTACACCAAGGGTAAAAGATAATTTGCATAAGGCAAAATCAAAAAAGAGAGGAAATATACAACACAATAATGTTTACAGGTGCTTAACATGGATGAGATTTTTGTTCCAGCATCCTCAAATGTCCATTGGGACCGCTCCTCCATCCGTAGAACCACCTTGATCAGCGGCAGTGTCCTGCTCAGCTGCTGTTTCCTGACCTGTGGCAGCAGCAAGATCTTCTTGATCTGCTGCAATATCGAAGGTATCAATGATTTGTTGTACAACTCCCGAATCCAAAATATGGAACGGTTCTCCGACTCCTACCACCACGATTGTACATATTGAGCTTTTTAGAGTTTCTCCTTGCAGGGTCTCTCTTATTGCCATAATAGCATCTTTGACCAGATCATCTCTAGAGGAGTCGGTGAATTTCTCAAACCTACGTTCCAAGAATGTCTTTGCAGCTTGTGACCTTGATCCAATGGCAAAAGCCTGGTATTCAAAGTAATTTCTACTTGGACAGTTATAGTAAAGATGAGCCCAGATTCATCCAAACCAGCCACCAACAGGCCAACACCATAAGGCCGTTTCCAAGAGCGTTGAGTACAAACCTGCCACCAAAATACAATTATTTTCCTTTTCACAACTGCCAAACAAATAAATTTACTATGCTTCCTTGGGAATAAAAATGTTTTAACTTTCAAGATATCCGTTAGGTTTGGTGCTCCACTAGAATTGCTGCTTTTTTACCACCAGGTCATCAACTATGTTTCATTTAATTGGAATTACAAAATAAAACACCATAAGATAAAAACAAAAACACAATAGATTACAAAGAAGATTTTATCAACAATCATATTTAATACCCAGATGACGAACAAATAACATTAAACCTTCTAATATGTAACTAAATTAAGAACACGCCCTTAATACATTTGAGAAATATAAAATATTGAGCAGTGAATTGAATGAGTTAGTACAGAACAGTAAGGCTTAAACACCTTTTTCGTAACCAACCCCAAAGGATTGACATCGCTTAATGCAGCACCACTAACAACTTCAACCTTTACATCTACAAATATACGGAAGTCCATATCAAGCAATCCTTACAGTTGGAAAAATGCTACTAAATCACATAATTAACACCAGCACAACTAAGCCTGAGCATGGTGTGCCAGACTCCTGGGGTATGGGGCTAAAACCATTAGCTCATTCCAACCTCAATATAGCTTCTATTCTAAAATCCTCTCTAGCATTTATCGAATACAAGTGTAAGCTAGGTATCAAAACGGCTAATGGAACACATGCATAACCATAAACAATCTTTTCAAGTTATCTTCGTTTACCACAATATCCTTTGCCTGCATTCTACCGAGAAGTTTGGTGGCAAAGAGAAAGCAAATATGAGATTGCGGACTTAGTCAGCTTATGCCAAGTACACTCAAAACAAAGTCTCGCACTCTTACAAGTAAAGTTCACTAAAATACATATGAACCATGAGATGGAACATGGAAACTACCTCAATTGTAACCATTTTCTATTCGTATCATATTAGTCCTCATTATTAATTTAATTTTTCTTCTATTACAGATAGGTCAGTGGGATTATTTTACATCGTTAATCATCCTCTGGTTCACAAATAATGTAAGTGGTGACACTTATAGTTTTCACATTACTTGACCTATCAACGTTTCCTACAATATAGTCTCATATGAGAACTAATTCTCATCAGAACAGTATTCTAGTTGAGAGTCAATAACAAATCTTGCAGCTTTAATTTATTTAAAGCATTATCGAAACCCTCATACTTGTCAAGACTTCAGCAAAGATCCATTTAGCGTTTTAAATCCTTAAGCAAATTCCCATTCTAACAAAAAAAAAAATCAGAAATCAACATCATTCATCGGTCTAAGTGCACTGAAGATTAATGTTTTTTAGGAAATGAAAAAGACCTGTTCTTTATCGGCGAGCTGGACGACGAGTCTTCCAACAGGAAGCGGTGACTCGTAATGGAAGCTGTAATTGATACATTCGTTTCGCATATACTATGAATATTGAGGATTTCCATTCTTGATTGCTCATTTGGCAATGGAATCTCTATCTTTCTGTCTAGCCTCCCAGGACGAAGAAGTGCAGGGTCAAGAACATCAGGCCGGTTTGTGGCCATGATCATTTTAACCTACATGAAACAATTTAAGTTTTTAATGATTTCCCCACACTTCGGAGAATGTAAAGCAGAAATAAAGGATTACATTGAGAGAAATTTGAGTTCCAGAGGAAATGCAATAAATTAAACTCGCGAACTGAATAAAGATGTAACTGAAGGCACACAGAAGTTCATTAGCGGTAAACAACTTTTCATCCACTCTGAGGAGAACAAAAGGTATAAACATAACTATTGTATATAGAGATACAGTTGAAAATGCAAGAATATTTTCTTTTAATAAAAAACTTGAACTACATTCATGAACAAAGTAATGTACCTACCCAAGCTGATCAAATCCATCCAGCTGATTAAGTAACTCCATCAGTGTTCTCTGTATTTCACGGTCAACACTTGTTCCTTCACTGAAACAGCATCCGCCAATAGCATCAATCTCTGTAAAACCCTAAATCTGTAAACATAATTAATCACAAATTAAAGATGTCACATCAACTTATTAAACACTTGCTAAACAAAATCGGGTCAAATTAAAAACTTTTGAAAATTATTCCTTAATTTCCTTTTTCATAAAATTAATAAATCACATAAATTAAAAATTTGTATTTTGATCTTAAAATTCGATCCAATTTTAGGTAGCAATTTGGCAGCTCGACACTGAATCATATTGGAGATAAAACTGCCTAAAGATTGCCTACATAAAAATCCATTTCAATACAATTATTTTTCATGCAAACTATATATCATATCTAGCAACATAAATACTACTTCTAATTATTAATTTAATACAACCCAACTTAAAACTAATTTACCATAGCATTCAAAACATACATATTTAATATACATACCAACTAGATAAGTTAAAAGTGGCAAATATTGTATTGACACTAGAATAAGTGCTATTCCCAAAAATGTGATGCATGTTGTGCTCCGTACTCCACTGACTGATCTTTTACTTTACCTACACATAAAATATTTATACGCTAAGTAACAACTTATTGAGTCATTATTTAAAATAAATCATATCGACATAGAAATAAATAAATAAATAAACATTTCTTTGTCTTATATAAAATATAAGAACATAATAATACATTGAATAATCTCTTTCTTTCATCAGAAACCTTAAAATATCATTTCAAAATACTCTTATTCATACTCACAAATAAAATCATTCAAAGAAAAATTTACTTTCAATGAATTATCATTCCTGCATATTTCATAACATTTAATAGATAGTCCAATATACACAAATGAGAATACTAGGTACATGAGTTAGATTGTGTGTGCACAATATGCAATTGTAACTGTTACAACAGAACGCGCCCTTGGTGCCATAACGCACAAATAGTGCAAGACAAATGTACACAAAGGTACCAGAACACACTTATAGTGCAAAAACACAGAACCACTCAACCTCATGGCATGCCAATCGTACCATTACTCTCAATGCACATACAATGGACTTTATAATTCAGACCAGATTTCAATTGCAATTCAAAGATAACCATAGCATAAATCAAAGCGATTGGGCAGTTCGTACCCGAATCATTCTTAACCAATTTCAAAAAAATATTATAAAATAAACACATTATAATAAAATCATATTTAATTTATTTCAAAACATTAAAATAAATAAGAATGCACTCACCTTATATGCCTCACTAACTAACCCTTGCTTCGATATCCTTACTCGGTTATTTTTTTCCTTAGCCTTGGATTCGCTTTGGTCTTGTTTGTGTTGAGTATCTAAACAAGATAACATTTACAACACATACATTTCAAAGCATATGTTAGTAATATATTAACATAAGCAAAATATAGTAGATTAAATTGTAAAATTTTACTATATGCTTATTTGATATTAAACATAACTACTAACTTTAGTAATCCAAATATCACACTCTAAGTCCTTCAATATTTAAATTTCTCCAATAATTCCAAACTTGCATAATTGTCGAACAAAACACATAATTTCCCTTATTCATAATTTAATCCCAAAACTTTAGGAAACTTGAAACTTGATCCAAATCATCCTTTAAACTTAATATTAGCATTCTAATATAAATTTTCAGCATTATATTTCACATAATACCCATCAACTTTACATTAATTCCCAAACCAAATCCAACTTCCCATAACTTGCGATTTGGATCCCAAGATTTAACCAACTTACAAATTCATCCAAATTATTATTTCAATATCAAAATCAGCATTTAATTGCTAAATTCCAGCATAGACCTTCATGAATTAAACAATTACACTATTTCCCCCATAATTCCTAAAATAGGCGAAATGGTCCCTACCTTTCCACTAAACTCGAAATTGGTTCAATCAACTTTCCAAATCATGTAGAATCATTCTAATATTAATTCTAACTCATATGAAAATTTTGTAAAATTTTCCTATTTTAATTCACTTGGGATGAATACTCTAGGAAAAAATTCAATGATTTCCAATTTGTTTCTAACATGAATTCAACCTTCCAACTTCAATTTCATGCAAATCCAATCAATTCCATATCAATTCAATCCAAAATGAATATGTTCATAAACCCTATGTTATAATCAAATCCTTATTTGTGCATTTCCAATTGATTCCAATCATCCTACACACTTGAAAACAACTCTATAACATCATTAACATAAAAATAAATCCATAAACC